CCGCCAAGTGCGATGAAGCTCGCCAGGTGCTCGATGAAATGGAGGCTGAGGGTTGCACGCCGGACTTGAAGACCTGGACCATGTTGATCCAAGGGAACTGTGCGGCTGGGGAGGTGGACAAGGCTCTGCAGTACTTGACAGAGATGATCGGGAAGGACTTGGAGGCGGACGCCGATTTGCTGGATGTCATGGTGAAAGGTCTGTGCAGACAGGACAAGATTGACGCGGCTTACACTTTGTTTGTTGAGATGGTGGACACTGCCAAGTTGACCCCCTGGCAAGGCACTTACAAGCATATCATTGCCGAGTTGCTGAGGGTGAAGAAACTCGAGGAGGCACTGGGCCTTCTTAAATCAATGAAAGCCCAGAAGTTCCCACCTTTTGCAGACCCCTTCCCTTCAAACATCGCTGAATACGGGACGCTTGAAGATGCCAGGGACTTTCTCAAGGCCTTGAAAGGATCGTCTAATAACTATCCGCAGCCCCCTATCTATGTGCAGATGTTCAAGGCATTCTTTGCGGAGGGGAGATACTCAGAAGCTCAGGATTTACTCTACAAATGCCCCATCCATATCCGCAGGCATCATGACATCACCGAGCTGTTTGAACCAAAAAAAGTTCAGGCTACTGCTTGACTGAAGCACAATAAATTGTTGGTGAGATTATGGTGAACTCCTGCTTTTTGCATACTAGCTAGCTCTTGTTTAGTAATCCTGGTCATGAGTTGTTACATGGTAATAATTGTAATGCGAATATTTTGTTGAGTTGTCTTTTCTGTCCTTTTTCCTCTCTTCCTTTTTGCATCTTTGCAACATTTGAAATACAACCTAAGTTTCACCCTCTACCTTCTTTTTGTGTTGATCACAACTTTTTGAGCTACAGCACACATATCTAGAGCTTAGAATTATGATCTATGTTCCTATAATGATCAGTGTTGATATGATGAGCAGGTCAGGACTCTATTGGTTTAGTTAGAACTCACAGCTAGTATGAGCCTTTGTTTACTGCAGCATGCTTGTCAAATTTATTTATCAGCATGTGCCTTTTTTCTATGTTATAAGCTGCTATAGTCTAGTGCTAGGTCAAATTACTAATGAACTTTGAATTTTTAGGTAAAACATTGTTATTGGTTTCTTAATGTACGAATTATAGGGGAAGTTTGTAAACATTGACCACCATGAGAGTCCATAATTTGTCCCTCGTAAATTCATGGTTAATAGAAGACTAATAAGCTACATAATGCTTACCCCTTCACATTGTGTCTCAATAGAAACAAGTTGAACAGAATCTTTGTAATAACCATACTTTCATTTCATATACATAGGTGAATAATAATACATCCTATTCACATCACTCTTATTCATGTTACAAATAAGAACACCATAATAACACAACCTCGGGATATCCAGGGCACCTCCAAGCAGCACCTCTTATTTGAACTTTCACACTGGACAAAGCATGGGCAGATAATACCATGACTAAGGAACTCTGGCTTTCTTAAGAAGATGGATACATGGTTGTGCTCCAGTACTTTTCTGTCCTTTCTCCTCTCTTCCTTTTTCCCTGTACTTTCTACGTCTTTGCAAATGCCATTCCATTTGAAATACACAACCTAAGTTTCATGCTCTACCTTCTTCTTTTCGTGTTAATCACAACCTTTTGAGCTACAGCATAACATATCTAGAGCTTAGAATTATGATATATGATCCTGTAACGATCAGTGTTGATATGATGAGAAGGTCAGGACTCTATTGGTTTAGTCAGAACTCACAGATAGTATCAGGTTGTTTACTGTGGCATGCCTGTCAAATTTACTTATCAGCATGCACCCTTTTTCTGTGTTATAGGCTGACATAGTTAGAATTTCGTTAAACTTTTAGGTAAGACATTTTTATTGGTATCTTACTAAATTGATGGTTAATGGAAAGACCGATATGCCACACAATGCTTATCCTCTCACATCGTATTTCAAACAGAAACAGGACGAACAGAATCAATGTAATAACCATACTTTCATTTCATATATAAGAATATCACACAGTGGTGAATAACAGTACAGCCTATTTCACATCACTCTTATTCATGTTACAAATAAGAACACCACAATAACACAACCTCGAGACATCCAGGGCACCTCCAAGCAGCACCTCTTATTTGAACTTTCATGCTGGGCAGAGCATGAACAGATAATACCATGACTAAGGAACCTTGGTTCTCTTAAGAAGATGGATACATGGTTGTGCTCTTCTGGAGTGCCCAAGACATGTGCTTACGCTTGATGAAGTCCGAAGCCACCGAATCCACATCTGTGTTCACGTCATCTTTCTTGATAGGATTGGCATGGTTGTCCTGAAACCTGACTTGTTTCTTGGGCGCTTGGACATGGTTCGCTCCTACTGCTGCTTCTTTCTTCATAACACTGGCATGGTTGTCCTGAAAGTTGGCATGGGGATGGTGGGCTTGAAAGTAGAGCATTCGAGTGTGCGACATTGCTCTGTGGCTCCTTGCGTGGGGGTACGAGGAAATGCTGGAAGGGTAGGAACTGGTTTGTTGCTGTGATTGCTCTTGTCCTCTTTTATAGGCCCATAAGGATGCTTATTCTTAGACGGCAAGTGGGCATCATATTCTCCACTGCTGACAATTTTGAGATATTTTTCGTGTTCTCTTTCTTGTTAGCTTTCTTCATTCAAATTTGTTAGGCGTTGAATGACTCCATCTTTATCTTGTAAAGTAATTTTGCTTGCTAGGGCTTCTCGCTTAGCGTGGACCTAAGTTATGTTCCTTCTGCAGTTCTTTTTTCATAGGACGCAGTTGAGTTGTTTTCCCACTTCCGCTCATAAAGATAAGTAATATCTTCTTTCATATGCTGGATTATAATTTTGTCCACCTTTCGTTAACTATGAATAACAAGGCAAGTGCTAAACATATATATGGTCTAGCTCTTTTACTGGGTTTATTTGTTTCACTGTATTTTTAGTTAATTTCAAATCTGTGACTGTCTACATGAACTCTGATTGAGTGATAGTTGTGCTGCACCGATTTGTAATATATTCAGTCCCAACGATCCATCAAACAACTGGGACAAAAAAAACCTTTTCTTTCTTTATGTTTTTCTGGAAGGGCGTGTATCAGAATTGATGATAATCTGCTTCAAATTTTGTTTTTGTAGTAGAGGTAGGAGCCCATGATTTTAGAACCATGCTCTGGTGTATAGTGTCTGCAACTATTACTACATTATTCGCCTACGCCTGTTCCTTGTGGCGAAAAGCTATTCCTGTTGCTCCTTTCCTTTGCATATGATCCTAAACCTATCATCTTTCTGTTTCTGAAAGGGTGTGCATCAGAACGGCCATTGAGCTGCTTCGAAGGCATCATTACCTTTTTCTAAAGGTGTGCATGAATTTAAAGCCATGCTCTGGTGTATGTATAGATGCTGCAACTATTACAAACATTATACGTGTATGTATAGATGCTTCCCTGCAGGGAAGAGCCATCACCATTGATTGCTCCTTAACTTTGCATATGATTCTCAGCCTATCATCTTTCCATTTCTCAAAAAGAACTGGATGCCTTTTCCTCTTTTCTTTGGTCCAGTTTTCATGTTCCTGAATAATAATAATATCCTGCAACCACAATGAAAGGGACCTAACCGCTGCCTCCATTTGCCTGCAGAGACGGATTTGCCGCACGATCGGGTGAGAACTGTGCGGGAGACGCTGCCTGGAAGGCATATCCGACGCGGTGGCGCTCTGCGGATCAGGCCAGGGCGCTGGTTTCTTGACGGAGTTCGGCATATGATAGGGACTCGCAACAGAAAGCAGTCATATGTTGATAGGTAGATAGATATGCTCCCACCTCTTAAGATGCTTCGTGCATCCCATGCTCTAGATCTATTATCCGCGGAATGTTTATCACATGGGCATCTTGATAATTTTATATATCCTTTATTATACGGATGGAAATGTAACAGTTTATATATTCTAGAAAAGCGAGAGCGCTTGGTTGCTGTCAATTTTTTTACATTGCCTTACTGCAGTTGAGAACTTGCAGGGCTTCTGCTGGCAGTGTTCTATCATCTTTTTGGAATCTCAGCGAACAGCAGTTCGTTTCTTTTGGTTATATAAATGTTTTGCCATCAGTTTTGCTATATGCAGGTTGCTTCATCTTGTTTCATTGGGTCAATCAGTTATCCAGGACCGTTTGATTTGTTTAGAAATCCGTGCCTATGATTGTGGGTATTGATACATGAAGTGATTATATAGTTTTGAAATTCAGTCACCTTACATTCAAAACGTTACCTATGATTGGATATTGATACAAGAAGTGACCATACAAGATGTTGATAGATGCTCATTGCTTGCCTGTGTGTTGCACACACATATGCTTTTCATTTGTCTTATCACAAAACTGCATGCTCTCATATTTTGTAGGACAATCTTTTCCGATCTGGATTTTGCGGATGCGATCGTGCTTTTTTAGTATATATTTGGAAGCAATCATTGACTTTTATTTTGACTACTGACAAAAACGACTAGCAAATTCTGTAAAAATAATTACTAGACGCATTCTGCAGATAAAATAAAACAGTACACGGATATATTCGAGAAAAGTAAAACAGTACAGCTTGGTACTAATTAATACTAGTATTTGTTATTTAGAGTTGAACTTTTTTGTCTCTTTTTCGTGCGTAGCTCGTCCGGTCATATTTCTTGCCACATTTTACAAGTGCACATGTTACATCGCGATAATTTTTTTAAACTTTTTAGAAAATATAGGAGTTGTAGTTAAAAAAATCATATTTTTTAAAATTAGGCAAAGAAGACATAAATTTCGCATGCAACCTGGAATAACCATTTCTTCTCTTTCTGGGCCTAGCTCTACCCGCGGCCCGGCCCACTCCCCAACTCAGGCTCATCCACTCCCCTCCCCCGCCACCAGCCACCAGCACCGCTGCTCGCCGGCTCTCGGAATCCCCGCCGGCCAGCCTCCGGGCGGCTCCCATGGCAGCGGCGGCGTACACGGCGAAGCTCTCCGGCTGCACCCGTCCGCTCCCCAGCACCCTAAGCTCCAGCCCCCGCGCCACCCGCCTGGCCCCATTCGCGTCACGCTCCCGGCCCCGCGCGCTTCTCGCCGCCGCCGCCGCCACCCTCCGCGAGGTCTGCTCCGGCCGCGTCCCCGACCACGTCCTCCAGAGGCAACAGCCCCTCCGAAACCCCTCTCCCTTCCTGCATTCGCTATCAATTTCTCACTGAAAGTTCAGTATTTTGCAGGGCTGAGGACGTCGGGTACACCTCACCGACCGAGGTGCAGGAGCAGTCCCTGCCGGTGCTCCTCTCCGGCCAGGACTGCATCCTCCACGCCCAGGTGCGCGCCGCTGCCGCCGCCCCGTCGATTTCTTCCGGACATTCATACTGCAGAATGACAGTCTGACTCTCAATTTACATCGCTGGGGTTGCATGTAGACAGGTTCAGGGAAGACGCTGGCCTACCTCCTGGCGGTCTTCTCGGCGATAGACGTCGGGCGGTCCTCCGTGCAGGCGCTGGTCATCGTGCCGACGCGGGAGCTCGGCATCCAGGTGAGCTTGTAGCTGTCAGTCTCGTGTGCCTGGTGAGAGAGGTCTGACCGACCTGCTGCTGTTTGTATGCATGACATCGCCGCAAGGTCACCAAAGTCGCCAGGCTTCTCGCGGCGAAGACTTGCAACGTCATGGCTTTGCTTGACGGCGGGATGCTGACGAGGCAGAAGAGCTGGTTAAAGGCAAGTGATCGATCATCCCTTGGTGGATTTCTGTGTCTATGCCGATGCATGCCTAGTTGAAGGACCATTTTTAGATATAGTCTCATGTCAATAGCGTTTAAGATCCTTCCATGTTTATATTGGTCAGTTGTAGCGTTATGTATAATGTACTCTGCATTTCGTTTATTTATTGTGCTGTCTCCCTGCTAACAACATTGGTCTGTTTTCAGGCAGAGCCCCCTGCGATAATTGTAGCAACTGTTGCAAGCTTGTGCCAGATGGTTGAGAAGCGTGCTTTCAGTCTTGGATCAATCAAAGTATTAGTTATCGATGAGGTGACCACTCCGTTCTTCAGCCGCAAACCAAGTTTACCTATGCAGTGTCTACATATCTTCTATGGTGCCATGCCTATTCGTTTGAAAAGAGATTAGCTAATTTCAAAAACCTTGTTGTTTTGTCAGGTTGATTTCATTTTTGGATCATCAAAGCAAGTGAACTCCCTTCGCAAGATACTAAATTCTTACACAGCAGCATCCAGCCGTCAAACCGTCTTTGCTAGCGCATCCATACCTCAGCACAATCGCTTTGTGCATGATTGCGTGCAACATAAATGGACCAAGGTTGATCTAGCATCCATTCTCCGGTTGTGGACTATCGTGACTGTTTGCCTACGTGCCTTGAATATGCATTCTCATTACTGCCTGAATGGCTGTGCCTTTTGAACTTCAGATGGATACAGATATTAGTTTTCACATGCGTGTCTTACCTTTGTGCAGAGCGATGTGGTTCATGTTCATGTCAACCCTGTCCAGCCCATGCCTTCACACCTACGTCACACATATGTGGTGAGCATATCTTTTAATGACCACTTTCATCTTAAAGTTTATTTCCTGCATGATACTCCTTCCGTGCCAAAATACTTGTCGTGGTTTTAGTTCAAAAGTACATTTGAATTTGCTCTTATTAGAAAATTTTAGTTGTTTTACATGGCATGGCAGACCTTCTCTTATTCTCCATGGGTTTTCCCCTCCACAGCTAGTATCTTCTGATCAACTAAGTGCACAAGCACAACCAATCTCCTTACTCCTGAAAGTTCCTTTTTGACCTCAGTCTGATTCTCAATCCTTACGAGAACATAATCAATGTACAGATCTGCAGTAAGAAGGAACGGTTGCATGTTTTGCTATCCTTGCTTGAGAGGGATGCACCAAAGTCGGTGATTATATTTGTCGCTCAACAGGTAATGGTACAAATTAATTCATCTTATGCTATGCCATATCAACTGTAAAATAGCTCATGTACCATGGGACACCCTTTCACCTGTTTTCCGAGGTGCTAACTTATGAACTATCATAGAGAGATCCATCATAGTTTCAGTTTCTGCTATGGTAGTGGCGTGGTTCTATGATCAGCGCCCTGTTCAAAACCATAGTGTTATTATTATTTATTATGCTTTAAATTAGTTCCATTCGGAAAGCTTCTGTATTCATATATATAAGCGACAAGTCTGGGTTAGTTTATAATTGCTGTGTTGTCAAGTTCTTAGAATTCATGCTGATAGTAAATGAGTCTCGACTAAAATCATGGTAGACTAGTAGTAGTCTGAGAACAGCACTCTGTTTGATAACCGTTGCAACCTATTCTTCTTAGTCTGAGAAATCAAAAAGGGCTGGAAATCCTCCGTCGTCCACACTTGTTGTCGAATTCCTGAGAACAGAGTATAAAGGCATCCTGGAGGTGCTTGTGCTAGAAGAAGATATGAATTTCAACGCTCGGGCTACCTCGTTCACTGTAAGTGCTCCATTCAATTCTTTGTCTAGACCCCCAGGATCTTGATCATGTTGATTGAAGACCCGTGCATCAATTTACCGTATGGCTGCAGGAAGTCAAGGGAAAAGGTTTCCTGCTAGTTTCGACGGACATAGCGAGCAGAGGGTTCGACCTTCCGCAGACCAGCCACATATACAACTTCGACCTTCCTAAGACGGCGACCGACTACCTCCACCGCGCCGGAAGAACCGGGAGAGAACCGTTCTCCAAGTCGGAGTGCAGCGTGACGACCCTCATAACGGAGGAGGAGCACTTCGTGCTACAGAGGTTCCAGAACGAGCTCAAGTTCCACTCCCAACAGCTGCCCTTGGAGTCCATGTTTACTTTCAACTTGTAAATAGTTTCTTCCTCCCTGTTTTATCTGGACCGGAGGATTTTGTATGTAGATGTGCTAATAGCCATGAATCTTACTGAGCTTGTCAAATTCAACCGCATTCGATTCATAGTTCCGCTCATCCACAGACATGGAGGCAAAGAATAGTAGCTAGACAAAAGAAAAACACCATTCTGTATTTCTGTTCGTAGTTCTACTCATCCACAAGTTATGTTATCGGCACGAAAGAGCGAGTTATCGTTCCATAAGCGATGCAAACGATAACAAATTCAGAACCATTGTGTTCTGGCACAATGGAAGCCGCCTAGATGCTCGTGGGATCATTCCATAAGCGGTACCCATGACTGTTCAGTTTGGGGTTGCGCGTGGTCTGTCATGAAGAGGAGTATGGCTTAAGGGGCTGGACTACTGGCACTGCTGGCAAGTGATAGGTACTACAGGCTCCTCAATCAGTCTCATATCATAGGCCACGATCTTCACCTTGGGGAGGACTGTTTCGATCTCCTCGTTCATGAATGTTGTGTTTCTCAGGTTGAGAGTCCAGATGCTGTCGCAGAACCTGTATGTGCGCAGATTGCCGCCCTGTCAAGCCAAGAGGAAAACAATCATGCATGTGAGTGAAATCAATGTATGGATGGAAACATGACTAGAGATTACGATATTGTGAAGACAGTATTCTGAATTTGATGGTAATACTAGCTAGTAGCTAGGCAGAATTATTTGAGTGAAGCTATTGCCATGTGGAGGTATTGCTTTCTGAAATAATTGAACAGCATCAGCTACATGCTTGCCATTATGTTCTTGGTTTGAATACAGTATGTTCTAAAAAACTCAGCAAACAAATTCAAATACTACTTAGGAACGATTGCAAGAAACTATGGTATGCAAGTCAAGAAGAGTGAAATCATCCAGTAGCTAGGTCCATATGTAAGTCAGGAACAAGACAGGAAATTAAAATCCACACACTTGCATGTTGCAGACAGTTTAGCCTCTCATAAACTAAGCAATTAACATGAGCATAGTTACATAGTACTATGTTTCAGACAAAAGCAAACAAATCTCCTGGAATGAGTTAACTTATCGCGAAATTATGGTTTAACCAACTGCCATGCATAATTTGGCTATTAAGCACAGATCATTTTTGTTCAGGCTTCATTTCCAGGATCATACATGGCATCAGATCAAACATAAGGCATAGAAGATCTGCATCTGATCTGCATCATCAGGATAACAGCTAGCTACACTGACAGAGGTAGCAACAGCAGCAAGGTGTCTCAGCATGCATTGCATTAATTATTCCCTTCAAACAAATCTGTATGTATGTGCATCACAATAGCACAGAGATGAATGTGCAGCACATATAAGAAAGAGAGTAGGGAATTTGGTTGGCACCTTGAAGGTGGCCCTGCTCTCGACATGCTTGTCCAGCGCGTGGCACATGGACTGAAACAACAACGACAGCAACATGAGACCGGGATCAGAACACCACCTAGCTAGATGCTTGCTTGTTGTTGATGGATGGATGAGTTTCGGAGAGGAAGCAGTGCAGTGGTGGCATGTGGAAGGGAAGGGGGACCTTGTCGAACTGCATGATCACGGCCATGGCGAGCTCGGGGCTGAGCGCGCCGCTGGCCACCATCTCGTTCAGCGTCTCGATGAGGGCCACGCCGATCGCCGAGTGCCGGTACAGGTCGATCGCCTCCGCCATCCCTCCCCTCACCCCTGATCCCTGCGGGTCAACAGCAAGCAGCAAGCGTCAATCAGATTTTCCATAGTCCATACGCAAGACGGGCGGGGCGCGCGGCACCGATCACGCCGGAACCCAGTCCGTCATCGGCCACGGCGAGCGAGCGCACGGATTCCGGCGAGATTCCCAAGCCCGCGCCGCAGCAAAGCAAACGCACCCCGACCCCGGCAACCGACGCGCCCGCCGCCGCCCGTACGCACGCCCGCCGCAAGACAAAACCCTAGACGCCGGCCCCCCGCGTCGGCGCCGCCGAATCAGTCGCGCCACGGCTACCGGTAAGCGGTAACCAGAAACCCCACCCGGAATCAAAGCAGCCGCGTGGAGAGCTGGTCTTACCCGGTCGATCGGCGGCGGGAGCGCCGGTCGCCGCTCCGGATCTGGAGCCGCAGGGCGGGCGAGGCCGGGGTGCGTGTGCTGCGTCGTGGGTTTGGGAGCGGAGCGGAGCGGAGGAGGAATTCGAAATTTGAAATTGGGGAGCTCCTCCGTTTATGTACGGACTGACGGGTGGATGGATGGAGAAGGGAGGAGGCGGGCGGGGTGGGGTGGGGGTGCTTGCTGGCTAATTCCCGTTTTGCCCCTGCAAGCCAGTGGGCGGATAGCCATCAAGGGGTCCAAAACAAGCCACGCGGCCGTTGGGGGGTCCGTCCCTAGGGTGATGGGTTAGGGTTTGGGTCTGGTGATCCCGAGGCGGTCGTTGGTCATTCCTCTCTCACATGAAACCGAGACTAATCACATGGAACTGTCGGGGATTGGGGAATGGCCCGATAATTTGTGGGCTTATGAATGTACAGAAGCAGGAGGACCCCAATATCTTGTTTATTTAGGAGACAAAGATAGCGAGGAGCAAGATGGAATGGCAGAGATGGAAGCTTGGAATGCCACATATGGCAATGAAGGATTGTCATAGAAAGGGAAAAGGATTGGTTATGTTCTGCAAGAGAGATAAACGTCAAGCTGCTAGACTTGTTATTGAGTTTCTAATAACATAGTACAGAGGCACCCTAGAGGTGCTTGTACTAGGAAGATATGAACTTCGGGCTACGTCAAAATGCTCTTCTTTTTGCGTCAAATCTCAACATCTTCATTATGTCGATTTGAAAGCCATCAATTTAACATCCCTATGCAGGAAGTCAAGGGAAAAGGTTTCCTACTAGTATCTATGGACATAGCAAGTAGAGGGTTTGACCTTGCGCAAACCAGCCATATTAGTGCATCTCCAGCGTTAGACCTGCAAATTTGCTTGGGCATCTGTCCATGGACAGGTGATCAGTACGCGGACACTGATGACGGAGGCCGCCACCCAACACTGGCTGCATACATTCCAACAACTATTTGAGCTATTCGGACGAAATTCGTGCACACACAGCCGATTTCATATAAACCGGAAGAAATTCATTATATTTCTATCATTTTTTAACTAAAAATATACCAAACTAAGGTAAAAGTTGTAAAACTAATGTGACCGGTGCCGGCGGATATCCATTCCCACGACAAGGATACCCTTGACTAGTCTATGGCCGACCGCGGCAGATCTCCATTGTCTTCCCCATGTACGGTATCTCGCTCATCGGACTGCCGTGAGCCCCAGAGGTATATGCTTCAACGCAAAGGGAAGCTCGTTTCCACATCTTCGGTGGCGCCACTTATCAGAGTGGAACCGCCCCGGATGTGCTTCAACCAGAGGGGAAGGAGACGACGGTAGCCTGCGTCCGGGAAAGACAGAGGTTGTGTACGCCGGCATAGCCGAGGCGGCGCCTTCATGGGACCAAAGCGGCGGGCGGCCTCCCATGTTCTACTTCTCCTCGATGATGGCAACTAGTGCAGACGTGCTGGCCACCGTTTCATCAATCTTCGTGAAGCCGACTTCTTTCTCCGTCGGTAGGTCACGTTTACGCGTTCGTTGACGGTGGATGGCGTGGTCGCAGGCACGGGAGGGGCAGTATGACACGGCTTCGTCGAAGGAAGCCACAATGCCCGTGCCACCGTGTTCCCCCACGTGTCGGCCTGGAGCAACTTGCCGCTCCTCGGCAAGCTGGCTTGGAGCCGTGAGTTGCTGAACGACGCGCCAGCTTGGAGTTTCTGCCTCCGCGAGCAGAAAGTTGCCTGATGCGTATCCAGTGGGCCCGACCGGCCACCCAGTAGGCTTTTATGACGGAGAACTCCTCTTCCTACTTGCTGGATGCATGCATCAATAGGAAGCGGCCGATCTCCAATGACACGAATGCGGGCATCTAGCGCCGGGCAAGAACACGCGCAGGCGCATGTGAGTGTTTCAGGTGGGCAGGGCGCTAGGAGTGGGCATGGCAGCGGTCCGTACGCCTGCGAAGCCCCCCTACTTTGTCTCCGGTTTGCAGAAAAAAGTACGCCTGGACCGCCCCGTGGACCGATACATGCCCACGTTGGAGGGCACAACATGTCTGGCATGGACGTATGCGGGAGGCTTGAGGGTCCGCGTTGGAGATGCCCTTACAACTTCGACCATCCTAAGACAGCGACCGACTACTTCCACCGTGTTGAAAATATGCACTAGATACAATAATAAATGTTATTATTTATTTATAAATTTGCAATTAATGTTTATTTTCTGTGCTATAGTTGCATTGGTTCTCGAGTTTGCATATAAACGAGATTCGGACAAAAACCCATTTGCATGAGTGGAATAATAAACACCAAGTAGATATCTACCTAGCTAGTCTCTTCGCTAAGACTAGCTCATATGTTGTTGAGGATCTTATTTTCCTGATTATGGCATTATTAAAATAATAAGGATGCCAACAATAATGAAACACATTGTTGGCAGAACATGGACATATACCCAACTAAACGATATACTTCGAGATCTCATCATCACAATGTTATAAGTATTTTTATGCAAGTGGTAATGATATGTTCAATTCACAGACTATGAGAGTATCGAGTACTTCCGGAACCTCTCCCTCAACCCTTCTCCCCCTCCCCCTCTCTCGCCCGCCCTCCCTCTCACTCACGCGCACCCACACAAACACACACATGCACAGACACAGAGATACCGGCCGGCAGAGAGATTGCGAGAGAAAATTCTCGCGGTTAGGAGGTTGTATGGAATCTGTACCAACGCTACACCAACACATGTTCCGCTGTACTCTTGGGAGTTTGATTCATAGGGTGGTTCTTTTTGTTTTCTACTATGTTTCCCAACACGCCATGCCGGAAGAACATGAGAGAACCGTTCAGTCATTCTCCAAGTCGGAGTGCAGCGTGACGATTCTCATCACGG